GGGGCGGGGGCCCCCCCATAAGCCCCCCCCCCCCCCCCCAAGCTTGTCTCCTGGTGGCTTGTGGTCCACACAACCTATGCCCCTCCCGGCCTGTCTCCTGACTCAGCTGTGTGTGTGCAGATAATACATGGTGAGAGCATCACATTATCCTCACATTCTATTTCCTTTCAGATAAAGTGGTGAAGAAAGGAAAAAAGGACAAGAAAGGAAAGAAATCGGTAATTCGGAGGCACTTCTTTCATGCTTTTGTTTTATTTATTTTGGTGTTTTAAACCTCTAATTGTCATTTGTGTTGTATTTTGTTTTCTCCTGTAGTGATCCTGTGTTCATGTTTTCACCCGTCCCTTCAATACTCCAACCTAATAGAGGGAAGAGGGGACTAGATTGGGGAAGTGATTCAATTTTCCCAAAGTCACCTGGGAAATTGTACTTGCCCTTTGGGGTGGGGGGAGAGCTCAGACTTTAAGATTTGCAATGGATTAGATCCCCTTCTACTCCTGACAGAAGTGAGAACAGAGTTTTGGGTGTATAGAGGCTCTTTAGGTTTATACTTGGAAGAATGCCACTCAAATGTGTTGGCTGAGTCCATGTCCTGCACTGTTCAGTTCAGAGGTACAAACAATTTCCAGAATATAATCTGGTTGTCATGTATTGTGCTCCAAATCCTCATTACTTTGATGTTAGCAGATAACTCAATGTGTGAGAATACTTTATTATATGGAGTGATCCATGAAGCCGGGAATGTCACCTGACCCGCTGTATTCAGGACATGGACTTTCCTTGGTCATCCTAGTGCAAGTTTATTGTATATGGACTATCTGTAGTTAAAGTAAACTCAACCTAAAACTTTTTTACTATAACAAAGCTAAAGTGTTAGAAGTATGTGTGGTTCCTGCAAGCACCTGTCTGCATCTCCTGGTCCTGAAAAGTATTTCATGCTGAGCACAAGCAGCAGATTGCTCATTCATTCCTAGTTGAAGATTGTCATTTGTTGGACACAAAGGCTATTGGTCATTCTGTAGGAAGGAATGGAGGATTTGCTGCGCATGTTTGGCCAAAATGAATACTTCTTATACAGTGGCTGTGTGGCTCCCTTTGATCCCATGGATCATGGACAGGTAAGGTGGCAGACCTGAGGGGGGTTTGGCTCAGGTTTAAAGTGTTTCTAAAGCCATGTTTTTTTTTTATATGGTAGGGAAGGGTTACTCCCTCCCACCCATTCTTCTTCTTCTTTTTTTTTCTTTTTTTATTACCTGTATCCTGATCAGAAGATGTTTCTTTAATTCATGTGCTGTAACAGCAAGCGAGAGTTGTCACAGCAACAAGAGTGCCCATTGGCAGTGGTCACCACAACAAGCATTCCCATTTGAAGACTTCCCCTTTTTTTCTTTTCTGGTGGCAACTAAGACTACTAAGATTCTGTATTCCAGAATCCCGCTGCACTCCTTACCGGGTATCCCTGTCAGCGTGGGTGCTCGAAGTGACCGCGGATGGCGCCGCCAATACTGAAACTTGTTAAAGATGTCACCAGCACACCACATTGAAGTGAAGAACATGTCTGTTTACTGACGCTTCATGTCAAAACATATAACATTTTGGGGCCCCACAATTGGAATCTCCTCCAATTGTGACACACAGAAATACAACTTGATAAGGGTTCTAACCCTTCAATCTATTCAAAACTATAATTAAAAAAAAAGTATTGGCTTTGGATATACGTTAAATCGACCACTGTGTCCTTGTGGAGCCCATAGGATCCCAGATGTCTGCGCAAGTGAACATTAAGCTTTGTTCACACCTGACCCATATCTTGCCATTCAAATTCCTGAATAGCTGAATCACACGAAGGGTTACTCTTTTGGTTAGAAGTCAAGGCTTTATATACAGCCTGGGCCTAGGAGCCACGTTGCTCCATGGGACCAAGAGGATCAGCAGTTGGACTATAACACTGTTAGATTAGAGTCCAGGGCATGTGCACTGTGTCAGGGTAGCTATTCCGAAATCTGCTGTATGTGCAAGCCTGGTTCTATTTAATGACTGCATTTTACTTCATAGTAAGCCTGTGGCCGCTTCATAGCACCCAACTCCAAGGTCTACCACTATGTCCTTCTGAACAACCCAAACTTCAGGTATAGGGCAGACAAGCACCCCCTTTCATCCTACCATGCAGTGGTAGGACACATAGGGTCTTCCTAGCGCATAGCAAATATTGACTGGAAGTGCAGTTTGCCAGACTTCACACTTTCATACATGAGCGCCTGTTTAAAATATTGAAATTAATCTATGTTTCCGGTTCTGCATACGGACCATATTTTTCGCTACATGCATGTAAAGGTTTGTGCTAACGTTTACATGCATACAGTGCAAATGTACTCTGCTGCCACCTGCGCCCTAGCAACAAACAATGCTAGGCATCAGGAGCTGCCTACTTCCTAAATGCCAAGGACGCTAGGCAACAAGATCTGGCTGTGCTCCAGTAGCCAAGGACCCTAAGTAGCAGGAGTTGCCTTTTTACTAGAAGCCAAGGATGCTAGGCACCATGATCTGCCTATATCCTAGATGCCAAGGAAGCTACGTGCCAGGATCTGCTGCACTCCAGCAGCCAAGGAAGGTAGTTTCCAGGAACTGCCTACGTCATAGATACCAAGGAAGCTAGGTGCCAGGATCTGCTGCACTCCAGCAGCCAAGGAAGGTAGTTTCCAGGAACTGCCTACGTCATAGATACCAAGGAAGCTAGGTGCCAGGATCTGCTGCACTCCAGCAGCCAAGGACAGTAGGTTCCAGGAGCTGCCTACGTCCTAGATACCAAGGGAGCTAGGTGCCAGGATCTGCTGCACTCCAGCAGCCAAGGACAGTAGGTTCCAGGAGCTGCCTACGTCCTAGATACCAAGGGAGCTAGGTGCCAGGATCTGCTGCACTCCAGCAGCCAAGGATGGTAGGTTCCAGGAGCTGCCTACGTCATAGATCCCAAGAAAGCTAGGTGCCAGGATCTACTCCAGCGGCCAAGGACCCCCTGCCCCATGGCAACTATGGTCGTCCTTTTTAAAAAAAATTTTAGTATTTTACTGAAAATGTCACTTTCCCCGCTCTGCTTCCTGAGTCGTATGTATTCATTCATTCTGTTTTCCTCCTACCAGTTCTTCGAGGAGCTGTCAGCAGACAACAAGCAGGCTCAGGAGGAGGAAGCAGCCAAAGAAAGAGAAAAGGAGCAGCAGCAGCAACAGGTGGGTAGCCGGCACAGTACATCTGCCACTATTCTCTTTAAAGATGTGTCCTGAGAGAGACATGGAAGCCATTATTGGTGATCTTTCATTCTGAAAATGCTAGCTGTCTGTCATTCTGATCCTGTGGCTAAAATACTTTTAGTGGTTGACCCTGCAGAAACCAACACATCAGGATTTCTGACCTTAGTCCACCTTTTCTCACCCCATTTGAAGGCAGCACAAGCATTTTCAGGAGGAGGCTAGCATTGGCAGCCTCTGTTTCATAATAGGTTTACATTCTACATAGTGGGTGCTTGCAGCTTGATGCTTTAAATGTGTCTGTCGGTATGTTTACATTTTTAAAGTGAAAGTTCTGTCTAAATGTGAGTACCTTTTGGCAGAAACCATGTGACCAACCTTCTGCCTTACTGGTCATGTGACCTGTGCCATAAAAATGGGGATCTGTGGAACTGGTTTCAAACTGTTGTTTAGATCTTGACTTTTCTGACTTCAGTCCTTATCCCTGACCTCCCACCTTTTTAACCAGTACAGTGGGAACAACTTTAATGTCCTCTTAGGCACTCCTATTGGACAGAGTGATGATAGGTGGGTGTGGCTTAGACCTAAAGTCAGTAAAGTCAAGCCTTTTGGTTAAAAAAAAGAAACCAGTTTTAAAGGGACACAAAGTTAAGGGTTTTCTAATGTAATGTACACTTGCACCTTCTCTGCAAGACTTTTAAATGATTACAGTGGCTGATGGCATCACTTTAAACGAAGCATGCCGTGTTGTAGAAAACTGTGAGCATTGTGGGAGGGGCTAGGGCACTTATTTTAAAACCATAAAGAATTTGGTGCATTATGGAAGAGTAATGTGAAGTCTTCTCCCCTTCCCACGTCCAGATTAGATAGCTCGGCCATGGTAGCGTTCATAAGTATACTGCTGCCAGGACTAGAGTAGGGCTTCAATATGATACACTTACCCCTTTGATATTGGATGTTGTGCCGTGGTTTCCTCCCCTAAATAGCAGTATTTTAACTTCTCAGTGACCCTGCCACCCCAGGATCACTTCTACACACAAGGAGTGAATGTGTTTAACTTCCCAGCAGCCAGTGTGTTGAAAAACTGATGCTTTGCTGCTCCCCAGCCGCCACTTGGGGGGGCGGCCAGGAAGGAAGAACGGGCCCTGACCGCGGTAGTGGAGTAACAAGCGGGGGGCCCGATGGAGCAGCTCCTCGCGCAAAGGCAGAGGGACAAGCGGGAGGGGGTTGCGCCAGTCGCCAGCAGTGAAGCGGGCGGGCCAGCAGTGAACACGGACGCGAGGAACCACCACCACCAGCAGCCGTCCTGATATTATAGTGAGCCCCGTCTGGATGTTCCCGGCCGCTGTCACCCCACGGTAGTTTGTGGGTTGGTTTTTTTTTTTTTGCCTTTCCATTTCCTCCGGCAGCCCT